TTGTGAAATCCACATTGATACCATTGGGCTGCAGGGTTCCCAAGCGGAATATAGGTTGCAGGAACAGCAACTCTCGGGTAGCATCGTTGTGGCACTGCAGGAAGCCCAGGATGGACATGTCATCTGAGGAATGGGAGGGGGAATTGAAATGGTTCGCGACTGGGAGGTGCAGTTATTTATTGCAAACCGAGCGTAGGTGTTCTGCAAAGCGGTCCCCGAGCCTCTGCTTGGTTTCCCCGATGTAGAGGAGGCCACAACGGGTACAGCGGATGCAGTATAACCACATTGGCAGATGTGCAGGTAAACATCTGCTTGATGTGGAAAGGCTTCTTGGGGCCTGGGATGGGGGTGAGGGAGGAGGTACGGGGGCAGGTGTAGCACTTCCTGCGGTTGCAGGGAAAAGTGCCGGGTCTGGAGGGGAGTGTGGAGCGGACAAGGGAGTCACAGAGAGAGTGGTCCCTCTGGAAAGCAGATAAGGGTGGGGAGGGAAAGATGTCTTTGGTGGTGGGGTCAGATTGCAGATGGCGGAAGTATCGGAGGATGATGCGTTGGATCCGGAGGTTGGTGGGGTGGTACGTGAGGACGAGGGGGATTTTTTTTGGTTCTTATTGCGGGGACGGGGTGTGAGGGATGAGTTGCGGGAAATGTGGGAGACATGGTTGGGGGCGTTCTCGACCACTGTGGGGGGGGCGGGGGGGGGGGGGAGTTGCGGTCCTTGAAAAACGAGGACAACTGAGATGTATGGGAGTGGAATGCCTCATCCTGGGAGCAGATGCGGCGGAGGCGAAGGAATTGGCAATAGGGGATGGCATTTTTGCAGGAAGGTGGGTGGGAGGAGGTGTATTCTAGGTAGCTGTGGGAGTCGGTGGGCTTGAAATGGATATCGGTTTCTAGGTGGTTGCCCGAGATGGAGACAGAGGGGTCCAGGAAGGAGAGAGAGAGAGAGAGGTATTAGAGATGGTCCAGGTGAACTTAAGGTTGGGGTGGAAGGTGTTGAAGTGGATGAACTGTTCGAGCTCCTCGTGGGAGCACGAGGCGGCGCTGATACAGTCATCTCCCCTCCCCGCCTCCCTAACCTGTTCTTCCTCTTACCTCAAGCCACACCCCCATCTCCTACCTACTAACCTCATCCCGCCCCCTTGACCTGTCCGTCCTCCCTGGACTGACCTAACTCCCCACCTACACTCACCTTTACTGGCTCCATCCCTCCCTCTTCACCTATCCTCTCCTCTATCCGCCTCCCCCTCTCTCCCTATTTATTTCAGAACCCCCTTCCCCTCCCCCATTTCTGATGAAGGGTCTAAGCCCGAAACGTCAGCCTTTCTGCTCCTATGATGCTGCTTGGCCTGCTGTGTTCATCCAGCTCTGCACCTTGTTGTCTTGTATCCTTTCTTTCTTCCTTGCAAGGCAGAATTTTATATCACAGGAAGAGGTAATTTAGCTCACTGTGCCAGTGACAGCTTTCTGAAAGAATTTTGCACTTAACCCTAGTTTTGTCTCTTCTCTATATGAAGAGCAATTTAACAGATATGTTTTTACAACTCCCTTTTAATGAGTTGCATTCTGCTTCTAGTCATAAATTACATTTCCTAACAATTTTGGGTTTAACATTTTTCCTAAACTGTCCTTCATTATTTTAAATGAAAAATGCACTAGTTTTAGGGAAAATGGACTTTCATCCTGGATATTATGAAGTCCTTGATAAGTCAATTTTATTTTCTTCTCAGTTACACAGTCTGGTCCTAATCCCAGAGTTTGATTAATGCTACACTAAGCTGCTCCAAAAAGCGCTCTCGTAGACATTCCACAAATTCCACTTCTTGCGATCCACTACCAACCTGATTTTCCCAGTCCACCTGCATTTTGAAATTTCCCATGATCACCGTAACTTTGCCATTCTTCCACCAGGACATAAAAGGTGTATATCTTGCACTCTAGCTCCCGACTACTGTTTGGAGGCCTGTACACAGTTCCAACTATGGTTTTTTTTTTTACCTCTGCGGTCCCTCAACTCTACCCACACAGATTCTACACCATCTGACGCAATTTCGTTTCTTACTAATAAGGCAAACCCACCCCCTCTGCTTACCTGCCTATCTTTTCGATAAAATGTATATCTTTTGAAATTCTGCTCCCAATCCTGATCCCATTACAGCCAGGTCTCCGTGATGCCCACTACGTCATATCTGCCAATTTCGATCTGCACCACAAGCTCATTTACCTTCATTCTTGTACTGTATGCATTCACATATAACACCTTCAGGCCAGTATCAACCGTCCCTCTTCTCATTGTCATTCGTTTATCCAGTGTGCTTGAAGTTTGATTCCTAAACCTTTCCAAACACTGTCCTATGCGGGTCTACGCTGGAGACTTTAATAACCTCTCTGGAGTTTCCCTTTCCTGTCATTTTTTCATTTCTCCACACAGTGGAATCTACCTCTATAGATGTTAGCCTGGTGCCTTGTTCCCCACTGGGTAAGTTTTACCCTTCCCTTCTCCCCCCTCTCCCACTTTCTAGTTTAAAGTCCTGTTGACCAGCCTATTTACCCCTCTCGCTAGAACATTGGTTCCCAGCTCGGTTCAGGTGGAGACCATCCAAGTGGTACAGATCCCTCCCGGACCTGAAACATTAACTCTTGTTTTTTTCCTTCACTGATGCTGCTAGACCTGCTGAGTTTTTCCAGCAACTTTGTTCTTTTTCCTCCTGTTCCAATATTGATGCCAGTGCCCCATGAAAAGGAACCCCCCCTCTTTCCCACACCACTCCTTTAGCCACGTGTTTACTTCCCTTATTCTCATGTCCCGGGCAGTAAGCTGGAGATTATGACCCTTGAGGACCTACTCTTTAGTTTGGTTCCTAGCTCCTGATAATCCCTGAACAGATCCTCTTTCCTAGTCTTGTCTATGTTGTTTGTTCCGATGTGGACCACAACAAGTGTATCCTTCCCCTCCCACTCCATTATCCTTTCAAGCCAGTCAGAGATATCCCTTACGCTGCCCTGGCACTGGGCAGGCAACAGTCCATGCAGGACTCTCTATCCTGCTTACAAAGGATACTATCTATTCCCCTGATTATAGAATCCCCTACAACGACTGCTTGTCTTTTTGCTCCCCCCTCTTGAATGGCTCCCGTGCTACAGTGCAGTGGTCAGTCTTGATAAAGAAGCTTAAGGTGAAGGAACCCTTAGGAGACAGTGATCATAATATGATTGAATTTACTATGCAATTTTCTAGAATTCTTTGAGGAAGTAATGAGCAGGTTAGACCAAGGAGAGCCAATGGATGTCATCTAACTGGACTTCAAGAAAGCCTTTGACAAGGTGCCATATAGGAGGCTGCCAAGTAAGATAAGGGCCCATGATGTTAGAGGCAAGGTACTACATGGATAGAAGATTGCTGTCTGCCAGAGAGCGGGGTTAAAAGGGTCCTTCTCAGGATGGAAGCCAGTGACTAGTGATGTTCCACAAGGGTCGGTGTTGGGACCACAACTTTTCGCTTTATATATTAATGATCTAGATGAAGGAACGGAGGGCATTCTGGCTACGTTTGCAGACAGTACTAACATGGGTAGAGGCACAAGTAGTATTGAGGCTGCAGAAGGATTTGGACAGTTAGGAGAGTGGGCAAAGTAGTGGCAGATGGAGTACAATGTAGGAAAGTGTGAGGGTATGGACTATTTCCTAAATGGGGAGAAAATTCAGAAGTCTGAAGTGCAAAGAGACTTGGGAGTTCCAGTCCAGTATTCTCTCAAGGTAAATTTGTAGACTGAGTCAGTAGTTAGGAAGGCAAATGCAACTTTGGCATTTATTTTGAGAGGACTTGAATATAAAAGCAGGGATGTACATCTGAGGTTCATAAGGCTCTGGTCAGGCCACATTTGGAGTATTCAGCGCAGTTTTGGGCTTCATATTTCAGGAAAGATGCACTGGCCCTGGAGCAGGTTCAGAGGAGGTTCACAAGAATGGTGTCAGAATGGAAAGCTTAACATATATGAGGAACGTTTGAGAACTCTGGGTCTATACTCGATGGAGTTTAGAAGGATGAGGATGTATGATTGAAAGTTATAGAATACTGAAAGTCCTGGATAGTGTGGATGTGGAGATGTTGTTCCTGCTAATAGAAGAGACCAGGATCCAGAGCACAACCTCAGGGTGAAATAGCAACCCTTTAGAGCTGAGATAGGGAGAAACTTCTTTAGCCGGATCGTAGTGAATCTTTGGAATTCATTGCCACCAGAAGGCTGTGGAGACCAGGTCATTAAGTATATTTAAGACAGAGCTAGATAGATTATTGATTGCCAAGGGGATCAAGGGTTATGGGGAGTAAGTGGGAGAATAGGGTTGAGGAACTTATCAGCCATGATTGAATGGCGGAGCAAACTCGATTGGCTGAGTGGCCAAATTTCTGCTCCTGTGTCTCATGGTGTTGCTTTAGAAGACTGGAGAGGTGACCTGCTCCAGGTGCATTTCTCACATGCCTGAACCATACTGTCAGGTATAGTTCATCTTTGAATGCTTCGAATTTTGCACATTAATTCATTTTGAATATTCTTCCTTACATCATCTTAAGTAGAGACAGAACAGATCCCAATCAGGTATCTGAACTGTACCAGAAAATGCCAGCCCACAGGTTGGAAAGGCAAAGATAAGCTTGAAAATGTGCTCAAATTATAATAAAAAGCCCTGCATCAGTGCAATATTTAGCATACCATAAGATATAGAAACAGAAGTAGTCCATTCAGCCCATCGACTCTGTCGCACCATTTGATCATAGTTGATAAATGCATCAACCTTACGTTCCTGCCTTGTTCCCATAACCCTTGACCATCTTAAGAACCTATCTCTGTCTTAATACCACAGATTCACCACCCTCTGGCTGAAGATATTCCTTCTGATATGAGTTCTAAATGGTTGCTATTTCACCCTGAGTTTGCACTCCGGATCCTAGTCTCTCCTACTAGCAGGAACAACATCTCCACATCAACTCTATCCAGGACTTTCAGTATTCTATAAATTTCAATCATACCCTCCCCTCAGCCTTCTAAACTCTGAGTACAGACCCTTCGTCCTCATATGACAAACCCTTCACCCCCAGGATCATTCTTGTAAACTTCCTCCAGACGCCTTTAACACCAGCACATCTTCCCTTAGATACAGGGCACGAGGCTGCTCACAATATTCCATATGTGAGCTGACCAGAGCCTTGTACAGCCTCAGCTGTATATCTCTGCCCTTGTATTCTAGCCCTCTTGAAATGAATACTAACATTGCATTTGCTGTCTAAACTGCCAAGTGAACAGATAGAGAATCCCAAACTTGGACTTCCAAGTCCCTTTGCATTTCAGATTTCCGAAGTCCTTCTCAGTATCTCAGAAAATAGTCTTCTTCCTACTAAAATGTACAACCTTACGCAAGCATTTGTAAATTTTTGAAAGTATATTTCCTGTGGCCATCCCCCTTGCAACACAATACAGAAAAGATTTGTGGGAAAATGTTTTTGTTCAAATAATTATCTGATCCTGTAAGCACTAATTTAAATTGGTTTAATTTTACAACATTAATGACCTTTAAGTAAAGATCAATAAATAGACAGCACAATTGCCTTTAGATTAAATTTATTGCAGCATGTACTAACTACAAGATATCCAATAACTAAGTGTGGTCAATAACACTGAATTTTGACAATAGCTTTTATTCTCTCCTTTTACATATAGAATCTCTCATCCTTGAAGAGCATCATCAGTTCTGTGGAACTGCTTTGAATTGATTGCACCTCCCTGCTCTCACTACCCCAGTATATTTCTCCTTTGCATGTTATAGGCAATGCCCTGTTCAAAGTTAAAATCATTTTCCACCACTCTTCCAAAATTCAAAATTATAAACATCTGTGTAACAAAATGCAAATTTGCCCCTGAATTTTTTTTAAGCAATTATCCAAAATGTTTCATCTGGCTGCTGAATCTCCTGTAGCTAACAAACAATTTTTCCATATCCACTGTGCCAAAAAAGCAAATAATTTTGTGTTCCCATCAAAACCCCATTAATGCTCACAACTCCAAGCCCTCCATGTTTAGGTACTAATCTGATAAATGTCCTCCACAAGACCTTGACATCCTTCGTAAGAACAGTACCAATTCAAGAAATGCATGCTTCATTACAAATCCATTTGCTGTAATGAGAACTTCTTTCATAGCCCTACTGTAGTAACCAATCGATTATTTAAGACTATATGCAGTCAATCAATATCTGCAAAGTGAGATCTCTTTTTAAAAATAATGATTTAACAAATGTACTCCTGACTCGTTTAGTGCTGGTGTAGGAAGAACAGGAACCTTCATAGCTCTTGACCGCCTTATGCAGCACATCCAGGAGCACGAGTACGTGGATATCCTGGGCCTGGTGACTGAGATGCGTACATACAGAACATCAATGGTTCAGACAGAGGTAGGTCAGAGATGTGTACAAATGGAGGTTTAGAGGGAAAAGCAGAATTATTCTATTCTACCATTGTAGTTGCTTGTCTAGTCAGGCAAACGAGTTCAGATTTCAATTGGCTTGGTTTTCTTGGGATTTTACCTTACTGTCCCTCCATGTAGTAAAATCTGCAGCCTTACTCATGAATGTTCTTCTGATGAAGTAATGTGATAATTTTTAATGTACTGTTTTAAGGTTTTTTAAATGCTCGACAGATTGTGGAAGTTATCTGGAAAAGACATTACTGACTGGCAAGTTTAACATTGCATAATAAAATCTATGAAAAATGAGAAGCAGCAATTGTACAGCATTTCAATGTTCAATGCCATGGAGCAATAATGATCAGCTGCAAAGACAACTGTAATAAGCACAAATGAAGTCTGGAATTATCCTGACTTCCTAAAAAAGACACAGAACAACTATATTTTTGTTGACTTAAGCTTCAAGAAAATAATAAAAAGTAAAACTTCAATGTAACAAACTTATTTATTGGACTCACTACTTAATGTAAAAACTCTGTTCTCACTGTCTGCAACAAGTTCATCTCTATGCCTATGACTCCAAGTTGTGGTGATCTTACTGGATTTTTTTCACCCAGGAACAATACATTTTCATTCATCGGTGTGTGCAACTGATGTGGAAAAAGAGAAAGCAACACTACGGCAACAGTGACGTGATATATGAGAATTCTAGGCCATCCCAGCTATGAAGCCTGGAAGGTAAGAATTTTTATTATATGGTGGCAGTGTGTTATCTTACAGTGTAATGCTGGCTTGAAAAATTAGCATTTACAATACATGGCCAACCTAAGATGCCCCTCCCTGCAAACTCCAGTAACTCAATGCAAATGACTTCTGTTGGATTTTCCTGTTTTTGTGGGTGTGAATGTATTGGAAGCCCTGTGTTTTGTGCTGTTGCCTCACTGAAGGCAAATCTTTAATATTAGTATTTGTTCACGTAAGTAACCTGAATTCCATGGAATTTGACGGAACCTTCGATTTAATCTTCGGCTATGATTCCCAGGACTCCATGCTTAGCACCATAAAAAGTTGGGGTTTTGAACTTGCCTGCAATATGTGACACCATCAAATCTCAGTAAACGAAGCACACCAATTCAAGTCATTGAATGCTAGTCAACAAGGACTTTGACGCAATCCCTTAATATTAATACTGACATCAAATTTGACCACAAGTCTCATGATTGAAATTGTTATAACCTCGTCATTTTCTCTTTTCTTAAATTATATAATTGTCCACTGTCTTTCAGATTCCAAACTTTACAGCACACTGCTTTATTCTAAGCTTCTGGTGCGTCCTGTGCTTGGCTCTAACCACAGAGGATCAATGCTAGCAAGAGAGAGATGATAAAAGAACATTTAAAAAAAAATGCTCTGGAACAATGCCTTAAAAGTACCTGTAGTGTCTTTGGACTGTTTCCACCAGAAAATTCAGCGTGGGACCAAATTCATCTGAAAAAAAAGAAGTGTTAAAGTAGGTACAAGCAACAACTCCATAAGGAAGAAATGAAGTGTATTGCATTCCACTGCTCGTGTTCAGTTAACGCACCATGTTACACAGATAAACTTTCACTAAACGTCTGCTTTCCTGGATTCATCTAGCCTTTCTTATACAAGCCAAAAAAAACACACTTTAAACTAAATGGTAAAAACTGTGAAGTGAGTGAGGAATTCATGGAATTATTGTATTTATGCAATAAAGAACATTTGCATCAGAGATTGGTGATTAAGAGGATTTATCTGGCATTGCAGATCCAAGAAATATTCCTCAATAATGCACATACTGTTAATTATAATTGGTGTTGTGTAATGCATTGTGTCTTGACAGTTTCATTGTGTTGCAGATGAGGTAAAATTCACTGTTTTCATTTAGCAGTTACAATAATTATTTTTCCAAGCTCTAAAAAGAACAATCATTGCACGACTACACATAAAATTGGAGCTTTAAATACAAATGAAATGAGGGAGAAAAGAATGCTGATGTGAATTTAAATAAAATTTAATCATGCAAAATATTTTATTTTACAAAAGGTGCAAAGATGCTATTGTTTAGCTAGTGAATTGTCACAGGAAATTTACTCCCCAGAAGTAAAAAATTACACAAGACAGTTGAAGGCAAGGTTCGACACAGTGATTAAGAACCACATTCCTATAGCAGAGAGCAAACCTGTTAATATAGTTACCAGGTTAGAATTCCAATTGTCAGTGAAGTACCAGTGAGTAGAGTACCAGTTGATCAGATTTGCACCATTTTGAAAAGAATTTTAAAATTTTTCTTCGAAAGCGCAAAAGTGTGTAGTCATGTGTAAAAATCATAGGATGTTACCCCATAGCAAATCTCTAGCCGTAAACTATTTGTGGTTCAGAAACAAGATATCTACAAATGCATCTTAAGAGTACCTTATAAAGAACTCCAAATTAAGTGGAACAACCAGATATTGCACAGCATTTGGTTGAGTTTTGACTATATTCTATAAACACAGTACAACATTTTTTTTTTTTTTTTTTTTTTTTTAAAAAAAGTTTTCAGTGAGGCAGAAGAGACCAAGTCATTTGCATTGACATACCTGTGACCTGTTGCTCAGGCCCAAACCAGAAATGCACCATCATACAAAAATACCAAAAGCAACATGCCATTTCTGAATTTGTGTGCTTAAATGAATATTCAGAAAAACATGCAGCACTTGTTCCGCTGTTTGTCACTTTTGTACCATTCATAAATCATATTTGTACATTAAATCTTTGTATAATAGTTTCTCTAATTTATTTTTTTTGGTGGCTTGCTGTAGTGTAGACTTTTCAGCTTTGAATTGTACCAGTATTTGGAATGCACCAATATAAGAAACCCTCTCTGACAATAAATCATTAATTTGCATTATCTTGTGACTTTATTTTACAAAGCTGACCTGTGACCAACTGATGTTATTGGGAACTAATAAAAATCTTTGCCTTTGGCAACAATAAGTTATTTTTGTCAATGGGTATAAACAGGCTTCATGTTTCATAATATCCCAAATGAATGCAAAAGACATGATGGTAAACCCACATTTTTAAAACTGCCAATTCTGAATTTGGAACATGTATTGGCACCATGAAACATTACAGCAATTCTGGACAACACGCTCCTCATTGTAAAACAATCCAAAATACTTAAGATATTTTATAGTACCAGAGTCTGGCATAACTATGCCCAGTGAAGCATTCCATTTACGGGCAAATGAGCTAAACTCACGGGGAATGGAGTGGGACTGTCCTTGATATTGTGGCAGCATCTCAGTGTTACCTCAAGGAGCCCTCACAAAACTGGAATATTCTTCACTGGTTGAAATTACACCTAGTACAGAGGAAGTGGATTATGGTTGCCAGAAGTCAATCATCTCAATCACAAGACATACCTTGAGGAAATGCTTCAGTAACATCTAAGCCCAACCATCCTCTCCATTATAAAGGTAGGTGGTGAGGTGGGCTGCATAATATTCAGCATCCTTCACATCAACTCCTTAGATAATGAAGTAGTTCATTTGTAAGTGCCAAGCAATACCCACCTTCAATTAGAGACAATCCAACCATTGCCACTTGGCAATCAATCAATGGCACGACTATTCCTGAATCCCCAAATATCATCTTTGGGGTTACTACTGACCAGAAACTAAACAGGACTCACTATATAAACACTGTGGCCAAACAAACAGGTCGAAGTCTAGGAAGTCTGCAGCAGGCAAATCCCGACCGGAGTCCTCAAAGCCTATCCGCCATCTACAAGATACAAGTTGTAAGGCAGTATTTTCCATTTGTCTGGAGGAAGCAGCTTTAACAACTCTGCAGAAATTCAACACCATCCAGGGCAAAGTAGCTAGTTGACTGGCACCCCCACAACATCTTTCATATCTATTTCCTCCATCACCAATACTTACGAGCAGCAGTGTGTACCATTTAGAAGATGCACTGCAACGATTCACCAAGGCTCTTTTGACAGCATCTTCCAAGGCAACGTCACTCCCATCCAGAAAAACAAGGAAAGCAAGAGATTACAAGCAGCTGCAAGGTTCCCTCCGAGTCACACACTGTCCTGACTTGAAACTATATTGCTGATCCTTCATTGTCACTGGGTCAAAAACCTGGAATTGCCTCCTGAATACCATGCCGGGTGTATCTGCACCATATTAACTGCAGCAGTTCAAAAAGGAGGCTCACCATCACCTTCTGAAGGATAACCAGGGAAGGGCATTAATTTCTGGCGAAGCCATTAACATCCAATTCCATCAATAAATAAAACAAAAGGATGATTCATCATCAGCAATTCCCCACATTCCATCTAAAATTCTCAACATTAAAATCTCCACTTTTCTTAGCTCAATAGAAATGTAGTCATAATGACAGCTTCTCAATCTTGGTGTTATCCATGTCCACCTTGCTTTCTGTGTTCTAAACTTAAAATCCTTTTATAATGTAACAAGTACAAATTTATTCCTATTTTATCCTATATTCCTATTTGTAAACTCAAAATGCCTTGTTGGACTTCATCTGCTTGGGTTCATACACTCAGGCAATTATTTATTGGAACTCTTGTGTCTTTTCCATTAAGTGCACATTCCTTTTCTACTACTTTCCCATCAAGGTGTACAACCCACAGATAGTCTAATGGGCAAAATGTGATTAGGGAACTGTACCTGGGTTCACTACACTTAGAAGTGATTTAAATGGAGTAGAGAGAGTTGTAAAATCAAATTTGCTGACAACATTAAATCGGATTGCACTCTAAAGGGGTGGAAATGAAAGAAAGTTACAGACATTGATAGATTACAGTGAATTGATAAAAACGAGATAGAAGTCATTGCAGGAAAGTGTAAATTCATCTACTCTAGACCCAAGATAGATAGATAAGCATATTTTCTAAACGTGGAAAAGAAAAAGAATTTGGAGGGTCCAAAATAAAAATCAAACTGGTGGATAAATACAAGAAATAATTTTTTAAAACTACTGGGATGTTAACTGTCATCTTAATGGGACTGAACATAAAGGATGGATTTTATCCTACAGTTACATAAAAGGTGCAATGAGACTGAACTTGAAGTACTGCATTCAACCGGGGCATCCAAGACAAGTGATGTTAGAGATGGAGGGGGCTGCAACACAGATTTAGCAAATTAAAAACAATTCAATTCATTCAGTTGAAGCATTCAATAGAGAATTGAATGATTATTTGGATAGAAATAGTGTGCAGGGATCTGGGGGAAAGGCACGAAATTGACACTAGACAATAGAATTGGTGCACGAAGACAGGCCAAATAGCCTACTTTTTTGCCATAAAATTTTGAACTAACGTGAAAAACATCAAGTTTGATAATAGCTTGCATAACCTAGGTTTGCATTCCCTCAAGTATAGGTGAAAACATGAATAAAAGATTTAATGACAAAGGAACAATTTCTTCTAAAAATAGTAACTTGAAGCAAAACTCAAGTTAGGCTGTCCTGAGTTTCTGCTGGAAAGCATTTTTTTTTTTTTTTTTTAAAATAAAAAACTACATACCACAAAGCAGTGGAAATCTGGAATAATTAACCCTGAAAAGATCTTGAGGCTAGCTCAATTGAGAGCTTCAAAATTGAGATTGATAGATTTTTTGTTAGGCAAGGGTGTTGAGGGATTTGAAACCAATACCAGTAAATTATATTAAGATATTGATCAATTTTTTTTAAAAAAATGGCTGAAGCAATTACTCCAGCTACTATGTGCCCAGGCAGTAAGGAATACGTACATTTGCAATTTGGTCTGAACCATTTCATCTTCAACATTCAAGGAAAAAACAAATACACAATACTTAGTTTGTAAACTTTATTTCCAGGACTTATAACAAAGTCAGTCAAGTTTTAAAGGTTTGGAGAATGGCAACAGAAACAGTGGAACTTTCCAAATTCTCGTTGACAAGTAAATTTATATAAATACAGCATGCTCTGATGCAGTTTCAATACCTAAACAGACTTATTTTGATCACAATCAGGGTTAGTTTAGTTTCAAATAAGCACTGGCTCATTGTTGTTGAAGAGGTAGTAAGTGACATAAAAACAAAGTTGCTAGAAAAGCTCAGCAGGTCTGGCAGATTCTGTGGAGGAGAAAACAGAGTTAACGTTTCGGGTCCGGTGACCCTTCCTCAGAACTTCCTCAGTTCTGAGGAA